GCGTACTGAAATATCCCTCTCGGATTAATGTTTCGGTTCATTTTCAGATTGAGACTTCTTTCTATCATATTGATTCTTCCCATGATCTGTCGATAACATTCCACATGCATGGATTTAAGCCTTCGACTCTGAAGTATCTCCGTGCTGAATCATTTAGTGAAAAAGCTAAATTCAGTGGAACTAAGTTCTCAATTTCTGAAATTATCAAATTTGATCCCGATTCTTCCGATGGTATGTCGAAATTGTTGTTACATTGTATATCAATTGGGATATTTGGTGTTATTTAGGTTTATTTAGAAGCTAAAATGAAATGATGTAGGTCCATTATATGTTACAATGGAGAAGGTAATGGACGCGGTCTCTGGAGCTCGTGAAATTCTCATATCTGTTCCGTTTTTGTTGTATAATTGTACTGGATTTTCTCTAGCACTCTCAACCTCTGTCAATGAAATGAAAGAACATAACTGTGTCATTCCCTCGTGCTATAATTTGGATGAGCTGAATGTACTTGTTCAGAAGAAAGACGGTCTTGGTCTTATCTGTACTGATCAGAATTTACCTTCTAAAGGTGATATCATGTTTTAAACTCAAAACAATCTTTGGATATCATTTAACACACTTTTGCTAAGCTATTTGTTTCATTTGGGTCATCCACTTTTTCTCTAGGTTCTACCAGTGGAACAGATTCAAGTTCACCTGATTTTGCAGAAATTGATAGTAGAAAGGTCAATGCTTGCTTGTTTTCTCCTGATCCTCATTTATATTCAGGGGAAGTTATGGTGAAGCTAAGTAGGTACCTGCCTTCTGTTATGGAAAATTTTCCAAAGCTTTCATGGTCAACCCCATTTTCTCTAGTCCCATCAACTGGGTCAACCAGTGTTCTTGTTCCTCAACCATCCATAGCATCTGGCTATGTCTTATCCGTTTCGGCTACGACTGCATCATTTTCTGGAAGGACAAAAATGATAACTTTCCAACCTAGGTATTTTTCGATGTCATGATGTTTTAGTCAATTCCTGTGCTTACCACTCTTCTCTCGAGAACTTTCTTCTTCAAGCAGATAAAGTACATTTGCTAATTTTGCAGATACGTGATTGCTAATGCATGCTCTAAGAATTTATGTTACAAGCAGAAGGGAACTGATTTTCCTTTTGTTTTGGGAGCTGGAAAACATTCCCATATCCGGTGGATGGATACAACAAGGTTTGTTCCATCATGTTAGTGCATTTTACATACTATTAAGAAAACTGAACAAATTCTGAATTTTCGCACATCTCAATTTCAGGGAAAATTAAACTTGCGCTTGTAAATACAGATCCTTGCTCTATTGAACTTCTAGAGTTTTTACAGTTACAAGTTAATGTTTATCATATGTTCAGTGTTGCAGCTCCAGTTTATTCGTAATTTAGCATTTCGCATATTCAAATCTCTAGTATGCAGAGTACGGAGGAGGCTAATGTATGGTGTGCTGTTTCTCACTTATCGATATTCCTTCTTTTGGCCTTTTTTATCTTCAGGGAATTACTGCTTTCTGTCCGCTTTGACGAACCAGGATGGGAGTGGTCTGGGTGCTTCTTGCCTGAGCAGTTAGGCGACACTCAGGTTAAAGCGCGCAATTATCTAACCACTGCTTTGAGCATGATGTGTGTAGAAGTTAGGAGTGCTGATATTTCTGTTGGAGAGGAAAAGATTGTTGGAAGTACGAGTGGAAACTCTGGGACAAACTTGATTCTTTTGTCTGATGATGAAACTGGCTTTATGCCATATAGGATCGACAACAATTCAAGGGAGGTTAGATGATTCTCTTAATTTGTGTATTGTCTCAGTAATTTGACAATTGAGCAATTTATGTAAAGCTGTCCTTGCAAATTATGTACTTCAGACTATGAGAACATTTCCAACTCTTTTCTGTAGGCGTGCTCTCTCTCTCTCTCTCTCTCTCTCTCTCTCTCTCTCTCTCTCTATATATATATATATATATATATATATATATATATATATATATATATATATA